CTTTCCCTATCCCTGTCTCCTCACACTTCCTCTTCTACCAAAACCATGTCGATTCCGTAACCTCATTCCACTGTTTCCCTCTCCTGAAGACAGATGAACAACTCCTGCTTCTCTCTCTTCCTCTTGGTCTCTGTTTCTTGGTTTCTTCATGTTTCCTCTAATGGCGGAGACGCTGAAATCTTGATCCGCGTCAAGCAGGCCCGACTCCGTGACCCGGATGGGAAGCTACTCGACTGGGTCATCGCCGGAGATGAACCTAGTCCTTGTAACTGGTCGGGGATTGCTTGCGACCTGAGAAACGGTACGGTCACCAAGATCGATCTCTCCGGGTTCGGTCTCTTTGGCGGGTTCCCGTACGGATTCTGTCGGATCCGTACACTAAAGAATCTCACTCTCTCCGATAACTATCTCAACGGTACGTTTGCTTCTGAGTCTCTCTCCCTCTGCTCCCACCTCCACGTCCTCATTCTCACGGCCAATTCTTTCTCTGGGAGGTTGCCGGATTTTTCCCCGGAGTTTCGTCAGTTACGTGTTCTCGAATTGGAGTCTAACGATTTCTCCGGAGAGATTCCAGAGAGCTACGGGCGATTTCGCGCTCTGCAAGTTCTCAACCTGAACGGGAATGAACTGAGTGGCACGTTACCTGCGTTTCTGGGGAATCTGACCGAGTTGACTCGGCTTGAACTCTCTTATATCCCCTTCAAGCCTGGTCCGATCGCGTCGAGCATAGGGAACCTGACGAAGCTTGCGTATCTCCGGTTGTCGAATTCGAGACTCGTCGGAGAAATTCCGGAGTGGATCGGGAATCTGGTTTCGCTCACGAATCTCGATTTGGCCACTAACAACCTCTCCGGGAAAATTCCAGATAGTATTGGACGACTCAGTTCGATTTATCAGATTGAGCTCTATGAGAATTTTTTGTCCGGCGAGATACCTGAGAGTATCGGGAATTTAACAACTCTGAGGAACTTCGACGTGTCGGAGAATAATCTCACCGGGAAAGTGCCGGAGAAGATCGCGGCGCTGCGGTTATCCTCTTTCAATCTCAACGACAATTTCTTCACCGGAGAAATACCAGAGGTATTGGCTTTGAATCCTAACTTGGTTCAATTGAAGATCTTCAACAACAGTTTCAGCGGAAATTTACCAGAAAATCTCGGCAGATTCTCCGAGTTGGAAGAATTCGATGTCTCGTCGAACGGTTTCACAGGCGAATTGCCTCCGTATCTCTGTCACAGAACAAAGCTTCGGCGAGTAATCACTTTCAACAATCAGTTCTCCGGCAAGTTACCTGAATCGTATGGAGATTGCCAATCGCTTAGTTACGTTCGAATGGCCGATAATCAGCTCTCCGGTGAAGTGCCTATCAAGTTTTGGGAACTATCGCTGGTTCGTCTCGAACTAACCAACAACCGATTCGAAGGTACGATTCCTCCATCGTTATCCAATGCTCGTCATCTCGGTCAGCTCGATGTCTCCGGCAACAACTTTTCCGGTCCGATTCCGGCAAAAATATGTGATCTCCGGGACATCACACTCATCGATATCAGCCGCAACCGTTTCTCTGGTACTCTCCCATCCTGTATCGCGGAGATGCGTAAGCTAGAGAGAGTAAACATGCAGGAGAATCTTCTCGGAGGGGAGATTCCGAGTTCGTTGAGTTCGTGGACCGAGTTGACCGAATTGAACCTCTCCAACAACCGTTTCCGCGGCGTGATACCGCGGGAACTCGGTGACTTGCCGGTGTTGACATATCTCGATCTTTCGAACAATGAAATCACCGGCGAGATTCCGGCGGAGCTGACCAAGCTGAGGCTGAACCAATTCAACGTCTCCAACAACAGACTGTACGGCAGAATTCCTTCTGGATTTCAACAAGATATTTTCGTATCGAGCTTTTCCGGTAACCCGAATCTCTGCGGCTCCGATTTGGATCCGATTCCGCGGTGCCATTCTAAACCCAGAACGTCATATATTCTCGCCATTGCCTCCATCTGCATCGTGATCCTCATCGGTTCTTTGGCTTGGTTATTCATCAAAATCAAACCTTTATTGCATAGAACAAAGCACCGTACCTACAAAGTAATCACATTTCAGCGGGTAGGGTTCACGGAGCAAGACATATTCCCGCATTTAACCAAAGATAACATAATCGGGTCGGGTGGGTCTGGTCTGGTCTACAGAGTGGACCTGAAGTCGGGTCAAACGCTAGCGGTGAAAAAGCTTTGGGCGGAACCGGGTCGGAAACCGGAGTCCGAATCCGTATTCAGATCCGAGGTGGATACGTTGGGTCGGGTCAGACACGGCAACATCGTGAAGCTCCTCATGTGCTGTAGCGGCGAGGAGTCTCGGATCCTGGTGTACGAGTTCATGGAGAACGGCAGCTTGGGTGACGTTTTACATTTGGAGAAGGGACGCCGTGCCGTTTCACCACTTGACTGGACGACACGGTTTTCGATAGCGGTAGGCGCGGCTCAGGGACTCGCTTATCTACACCACGACTGCATGCCGGCGATTGTACACCGTGACGTGAAGAGCAATAACATATTACTGGACAGCGATATGAGGCCACGTGTCGCTGATTTCGGATTGGCCAAGCCGTTGACCTCCGAAGACCGCGGAGATGGAGATGGAGATGCTCCCATGTCAAGAATCGCTGGATCCTACGGCTACATTGCACCCGGTTAGCATCCTAATTTTACTTCGGCACGATTGATTTCCGGTTATCTCCGGTACAATTAAAATTGACACTGCCCTTTTTTGATGACAGAGTATGCGTATACGCTGAAAGTGAACGAGAAGAGCGACGTGTACAGTTTTGGCGTGGTACTACTCGAGTTGATCACGGGAAAAAGACCAAACGACCCTTCGTTCGGGGAGAACAGTGACATTGTGAAATTTGCAATGGAAGCTGCATTGTCATACTCTTCTTCCTCGTCGCCGGTGGGAGCGAATTGGGATTCACGGGGACATTTTCGAGATCTAAGCAAGCTCGTAGACAAGAGGATGAGCCCTTCTGCGAGCGAATACAAGGAGATGGAGAAAGTCGTAGACGTTGCGCTTCTCTGTACGTCGTCGTTTCCCATCAACAGACCTACCATGAGGAGAGTGGTCGAGTTGCTCAAGGAGAAGGAGAAGAAACCGGTTTCTACAGTCGAATGATACGGTGCCGTTTTCATCTGGTTCTGGGCTTTGTTTTTCTTGCTTTTGGGTTTTTGGGCTTTATATATATGTTTAGAATAGAGCCATAGAAATATTATTTTAGAAGCAAATTATGTCCTCTTGTTGTTCAGAGCTCTTGAAGTGTAAAATATCTAAATTAATGAGTTTACATGCTCTGAATTTATCATTCTTGACATAGTTTTCTATTTCAACTCGTATTTAAATTGAAATGTATTAAAGATTAGGACTTTTAAGATACAAAACACAAATTTCTATTCAAACTTTGTTCTTTTTGGCTGAAGGTTGGATAGATATATATTACATATAGCCACTTGTCAAATACAGAAACTAAGAGATGAGAGAGAAGTTCTTTCGAGAGAATGCGGAGTCGCACGTGTACGAGGTCCCGCCTTTTTGTAAACTCGCTACCTGCACTGTTTTGTCGATCTATAACTTATCAAAGGGTCACCCCCACCACGAAGGGCCACCATCTGTAAGCTTCTCTCTCATGCAGCTTTCTCTAACGTAGAAGTGATCATCAGCAGTTGACTAAGACTGCTCAATGTGCTTCGTTCACTTAGTCTCGATGTGTTAAACTCTTCCTCTACCACCCATACTCAGGTCCTGATGGGCTCTTTGAGAGGAAACACCGCTGAAGCAAGGTTGTCCTGTAAAGCAGAAAGCGTGGGTGTTTGTTGTTCGTGTATCCTGAACCATGTTGACAATCAGAATCCATGGTGACATCTGTATCAGTTCGACACCCAGAATCCATTGTAACATTCATAAGAGTTCAGAAAAAAATAATAACCCGCATGGAGAATTACGGTTGTCTAACGTCTACTTCTTCGTGCCGTCGATTTTGACGGCAACTGGGTCTGAACAATAAGGGCAGTTCCCGAAGAGAACATCAAATGACCTGCAAGAGCCGGAACATGAAGGGGGACAAAACAAACTCTTGAATGAGCTTCAAAGCAAACGATGAAATACGAGAAAGCCCGAGATTCCACTCACTGTCTGGTTGTTGTGATCGACCGCAACCAATCTATGAGGCAGAGACTGTGGAATGACTTGTTGCAACTCGTGTTATCACAAATGTAGTCAGTTCTTGTTCCGCTTCTAGCTCCGAGCTCCTCATCTTTTGTCAAGATTTGTCAAAGCATATCATTGGTCAGTGATTTTGGTTTTTTGGCAAACTGTTACTATGAGGCATCCATTTTATATCAAGACATTACCGGTCGGTAGAAACTGGGCATAGCAAATTCCACATTCAATTTGTTGATGATCAGCTTCATGTTGGACACTGTGGGGTCTTGGCAGCTCAGCATCTAGAACACATACGAGGTTTCCGGAAAACGATCTTTCCTTTGACCTGTGTGGCATTCATTATAACCACCAACCAGTCATACACCTGTGAATTTTGGTGATTCTAGCAAAATCATGAAGCTCATTTCCTACCAATTTGATGCTGTAAGTTGGAACAATGATTCAAAATGGAAGAGAACAGACAAAGGGTTACCATTTTTTGCTGTTTCTTCTCCATCTCATTCTTAAGCAATCCATATGCATAGCTGCTGGAGGTCCAGGATCCATAAACCGGCACCTGTGTTAGGTGATGCTACTCATTACTGGATAATGAGGAAAATGAGGGCTCTGGCTCCAATTCAAGAGTGTGTGTTCAGATAGCATCATACTCAGGTAGCGATTTAGGGTCGTTGAAGTTGACATGAACGATGATAATGCAATCATTTCCTGAGAAATGAAAAAGTAGATAAAACCGAATTGCTTTAAGAAACAATCAAATCAACATCGAATGGAGAACAGAAAAAATTGCGAAAAGCTAACCAGCTTGAATCCGACGGACAGTTGAGGCCCTAGATGGTTGCTTTGCATCAACCACACAGAGAGATTTGTCAATGTCATCTAAGACCGACCAAAATTCTTGAAGTTTGTTCAGATGCTGTGGACAAAGCCTTTTGCATGGTCATACACCCTTATGCACCTTAAATAAAAATCTATTAAGACAGAACATATTGAGTTTCTGGCCTGAAACAGCTACCTCTTGGAACTGGCGCATCACATCCTTCAGTCTCATGCTTTCCGTCCATTCTAGATTAAACATGTACGGAATGTCCTGCAGGTGAAAAAAACAAGAAGGCATATGGGCATTTAGAAGTGTTCAGGAGAGAAGAATAGCTGAAATAAAAAGTCTTAACAAGACTGACAGCTGAAACCGAAGGTGGGCATTTAGGATAGTCTTTATCCAGCTGAATTTCCAGTATGTGCTCTCTTCCCTTCTGATCACTGCAGATGACATGTTCAGATGCTAATCAGCAAGCTGGAAAATCCGGAAAAGCCGAAATACAAAGGCGAGCCCTACAACGACGCCAAACCAAACTAAGGCATTGTGGAAATTCACTGGAAATGGAAATATTCACTGAAGTTCGAAACAAATGCAGTAGAATCACTATCAATTCTCAAGAAAATTCGAAGAAATCCTAAAACTAAAAGTATGAGAAAGTTTTACTGTTAAAAATGAAGTGGGAAGAAGGGCATACAATTTCTATTCAAAATTTGAAACTTACATAATATGGAAGCTGAAAAACGTTAAATCTCGACCTAATATTTTCAGCCGTTCCCATCCAAGTTCCTCTATCTGTAATGGAACAAAAAGGACATAGCAGAATGAAGATGATAATTGCAGAAGATTAAGTAGTATAATTACTATAAGCATAAATACTCAAGTCCAGAAAAAGAGAAAAATCCTAAAGCCAGAAAACAAAAAGCATCAACGATTCACCTCCGAGTACACCCTCCGGTAAAACGACGAAGACTTGGCCAATTCCCTGCATCTTCCACGTTCAACATATTCCTGCAATGCATTGTACGATTCATTAAAATCCCTAAATCCAAACCGTAATTCGAATGTTCGATCTCGTACTATCAGATCATCTACAGCAGCACAACACATGTATACATCCGTACGCCATACGAAATCGAATTTCAGAACAGAAAACGAACGAGAACAGGAAATGCTACCATCTCGAATCCGAAAGCAGAGAGTCTCCTTCACGCCTTGGCTGTGTTTTCGGAAGCAGGGCGTCCTTTCTATTAATTGGGCTTGTTTGGACTTCTGATAAGGCCCAAATAATAATTCCTAATTAGGTTTAAATTTACCCGATTTGTATATATAAAGCGCCGACCTGGCCGCACTATGATCACGATCGTTCTTCCTTCCACCGCGATCGAATCTCACGGTCCAAAATAAATTTACTTTGAATAAATCAAAATATAATTGTATATATAAATATATTTGTATATATGTATATATTTTTTATTTTGTAAATATATATATATATATATATATGTTTAGATTTGTATGACATGGTGACATAGTAAAAAAAATTTATCCAGCTTTTCACGTCAGCCGCCACGTGGCCTTCCACGTCAGCCGTAACAGACTCTTAACACCATTTCGGATTGTGCAGTAAATTGTAGTAAAATTGGGTAATTCGTATATCGATCTAGGATATTTGATAATTTCGTATAGGTTTTTATCAAATTAAAAGTTCGTATAAGAAAATTTCATTTTTCTTTAATTTAATCTATTAATTTTTGTGGAAAAAAAAGAATATGCATTTGTGGACTTTTTTTTTTTATATAAATGATGTCTCCTATGTGTATAGTAAATGTATATTAATGAGGATCCAAAAGAGGGGAAAGTTACCGATTACAACAGAACACTTCAAAGCATCATGAATATCACAAGGGTCGAAATGTCTAAACCAGAATTCAAGAATGAAAAGATGGCCTACGATGCAAGAAGACCAATTCCTGTTACCAGTCTCGAAATTCGATTACACTTTTTATTATTATTTTTTAACCCAACTTGATTTACTTTTTTCGTAAAGTAATTTAATCAACTATATATTTTGTCAAAAAATAAATATAAACACAATGAGAAATAATCTGAACAGTTTAGTTTTTTTCCAAGTGCTTTGACTTTTAACCCCATTGGCCCAATTTGAAGCCAAGTCAACCTTTTTGTTCGTCTAGAAGCCTTGGGCACATTTTTTATTTACTTTTGCAATGTATAGAACCTATAACATCTTTATTCACTCGGAACTGTAAATTGTACAATGTTGAAATATGTATATATATATATATTTGTATGTATGTATAGCCATAATTGAGTCAAAAAAAGGTCAATAATCGACCAAAAATCTCAATTAGTACATGAGCCAATCAATTGCGTGCTTTTGAAATCCAACGTTTCTCGATTAATTTTATTTCGCTTAAAAAACTGCGTAATTTTGTGTGTGAATATATATACACACACACACATATATATATATGCTTCAAAACAAAACTAAGTTAAACATGATCTATTTACATATAATTAAATCACGACGATGTAAATATAGATTATAAGCAAGTTGGTCCAAACTGTGACGACATTAAAGTGGAAGGGCGGGTTTCTTCCTGAATCTCAGCTGCCGTGGAAATATCTAATTTAATTACTATATCTTAAAACGTTAAATCTCTATCACAGTCTTTGATTTAGTTTTGATTTGGGTCCACTAGATAGAGGGCGTCAATGGATCAAATTTTATACAAAAATGATTTATTAAGAGTGGAAACATATTATAATTATTAAAGTAATACAACAATAGTAGCAGTAGATCTATATATAGATTCACTATATATCGTTGCACTTAGTTTGAAACTTTGGCGTATTATTTATTTTAAAATATTGTTTTAGGATGACTCATATCATTATCGAGGGCTTATTATATATATATATATATATATATATATATATATATAAATTCATGGTAATTTTTTCTTAGGGTTTGGCCATTTTGTTCACCTACCATAACGGAATTTAGTCTGCCAGATTTCGATATAAACAAAATACGGATCCTAAGTCACATAATATAGATTAAAATTAATAATTAAATCAAACTAATAAAAATACGATAAAATATATAAAAAAAATGTTATGAATCTAAGTCAATTATATCCAGAAATTACAAAGATGCACCGTGAAAAGTGCAATTGGATAGAAAATTCGGTGAAATTCATAGTTATAAAAAAATATATCTGGAAATTTATATAATAAAAATTCATATATAGAGGGACGGATCCACTTGTATATTGGTCACATATCCATTCTGTTTAGTTAAAAAATTTTAGTTTTTTTTAATAAAATTTATTTTGCTAAATACCTCCGCATATATACATATATATATATATATATATATATACACTCAAGCATATTGTACAAAATTACAAAACATAAAAAAGTAGCGAGTAATATTCCGACAAAACGCAGAGAAAAACTGAAGTGTGACAAACGAATGTCCAACACAGTGATTGCTTGGTTGTAACAGCAACAGATGAGATGACTGAGTCCATCCATCAACATGTCATCGCAAAGTACACTCTGACCATGAAAAAATGATGGCTTTTTTTCACATGTAAGTAAGGGGGAGGCAGAATCAAAGGGTACAAACAGTGTGATAGCTTGGGATTTAATTTTCCTAATATAATGGAGAATTAATGAATAGTAATAGATTCTGGGCTCAGAAGAAAGACAAATGAGAAAACCTTAGTCTACCTCTTCTCTTCTACCTGGCGTTTCTCATTTCATTATTCTATAAATTAATTATTAATTGTAATCCAATTCATAAAGTTGCTTTCTTATATATTTTTTTCCCTTAAAATTTCCAACTTTTTGACATCTTCGCCGGAGACCTTCTCCTCCAGCTATTATATACTCTCCTCTCCTTTCTCTCCCTTCACACACACACGCATACATGCATGTATATAAATATAAAGCCGCATAACTCCACACACCATCATCATCATCAACATCATAATTGAGACGAGAGAGAGAGAGAGAAAGAGAGAGAGAGAGAGAGAGAGAGAGAGAGAGAGGGAGAGAGAGTATATGAGCAATAACAAAACACGAATATATTACAATAATTAGCAGAGAAGGAGGATATCTCGGGATGGGAAGAGCACCATGCTGCGACAAGGCGAACGTGAAGAAAGGGCCTTGGTCTCCTGAGGAAGACGCCAAGCTCAAGGCCTATATCGAGAAGCATGGCACCGGAGGCAACTGGATTGCTTTGCCCCAGAAGATTGGTAAATCTCTAAACACTTCTGCTCACCAGCATCTATATAATTAATTTCAGGTTCTTGTTTTTTTAAGATGAAATAAAATTATGTAGATCATTTCTTGATGGGGGGGTTTTTCTTTCAAATCGTTTATTGAATTTAGGGCTAAAGAGATGTGGGAAGAGCTGCAGGCTTAGATGGCTAAACTATCTGAGACCAAACATCAAACATGGAGGCTTCTCCGAGGAAGAAGACAACATCATTTGTAACCTCTATGTCACTATTGGCAGCCGGTAAATTAACATGTCAATCATTCTCTACACGTACATAGATATACACAGATACAATGCCCCGACAAATCGCCCCGCGACGACGTTATTTAATTTTCAAAATTCCATTCTGTCTTATTACAAATTAATTAAATAATTTATAGGACCATTGTCAAAAGTAACCTATCTATTGGAATGTTGATTTCATCAAGATTTTCTTCTATATTTTGCTACCCTTTTGAAAGAAACATCGTTAATCACGTGTATAAATATTTGTGTATTAGGTGGTCTATAATAGCTGCTCAATTGCCGGGAAGAACAGACAACGACATAAAGAACTACTGGAACACGAGGCTGAAGAAGAAGCTTCTGAACAAACAGCGAAAGGAGTTGCAAGAAGCACGGCTGAAGCAGGAGATGATGATGCTGAAGAGACAAAACCAAACCCAGAACAATCTCGACATGTTTGGGGAAAGCCTCATGAAACAAGAACAAAACCTATACTGGCCACAGCTTCCTCAAGCACCACCTGTTGTCATGAACCAAGCGGAATTACCGACAACCTACGACAGCTACTACGGCCAATCATCATCATCATTAACTGATCAAGAACAAACGCACTTAAACATCAAGAACATGGTCAAGATTGAAGAGACAGACAGAAAGCCCCAGGAAGAGACAAACATCTACAGTAGTCAAAACCCTTTTGATTTCTCCTTCAATCATCAAGATTACGGTACTGAATTTGGAGGAAGATTCGCTATGAACTCGGTCATGAGCAGCAGCACAAACTCTCCTTTGCCGAGCAGCCAATACATAAATGATCACCAGGAGCTCCATCAATGGTTTGGAAGTTTCCAGATCGATCCAGCCATGAACGACTTGTTCAGGAGCAACGTTCAGAATCTTGAAGGGCTTGAGGGCAACACATTCTATGGGAGCTCAGCCATGGGAACAACAAGCAATTCGGCTGACCAAAGTACAGTTAGCTGGGAAGACATGAGTTCTCTTGTTTATGACCAAAACAAAACTAATTTGGGAGACGCAAGCTACTTCAACAACAATGTGATAATACAAGGGTAGTGTATATGTTTTGTATTTTTTATTCTACATATCGAAGGCGGTCTATTTTTGTATAAATTTGTATCTCCTAGGGTGTTTGGACGAGTATATGGATTGAATATTCATGCTTAGATAATTTTTATTTGTTTACTCAGTTTCAGATTTGGTATAATTATAAAAATCCTTTTGTTTAAGTGCGTGTATGGTATTTAAAAGAAACGAGACATATATTAATCTAACAGAGTTGAGAGTCTAAAAAAGAAGACGATCTTTAATCGCACCAACATCACCGCTTAGGTATTAATTTACCAATATCTTGACATATTCACACACATATTTGTGTATGGAAATATTAAATAATATGCATTTCTATGTATGATAATTTTCTGGATTTTGTTGAACAGTATTTTAACGAAGAATCCTAGGAGGGTTAATTTCGTTACTATTCTTATTCATATATATATCGGGCTATATATGCATGGAGTTGAATTAGCTGGAAGCCATTGTAATAATATTTTTGTTAATTCATTTTTGTGGGGGTTGTTGTTTGATTTTGAAGATAATATATACCTAACGTATTGAAGAATAGGGTTTTTTTCTTCTTCTTCTCCTTGTACCAATTCAACGGATGCGATCAAAAGAGGACATACGAAAATTTCATAGTCTGTTTCTGAGTTTCATCACAGAATCAAAACTTACGTATACCCTAATGATGTCATCGAAAATTCTCTTCCGCTGTTTGGCACAATCCTTCTTTTGCCCTTTCAACCGACCCTTAACTCAGATCTCAAACACTTATATTTATATATATATCCACGTCCTCATAATTCTAATAAATTCCACTTTGGAAACAACCTGTCCCTATCCTTCTATCTCTTTCATGTTGAAATGAGGAAACAAATATATATTTAAGAATATTGAAATTGATTGGAAATGATTATGAGGATGATTGAGAGAAATTAAAGACACAAAATCAATTAACAAATAATGATAATTGTGTCAATTATCTCTTAATTTATTTGTTTCCATCATATATTATTTCTTTGTAAATTTCTTTCTTTAATTATTTTATAGTTGTTTCTTATAAATAGATGAGTTATTCTCATTGTAAAATAACAAGAAGAAGAGATGTAGTAATAAAAGTGTTCTTTGGAAACAAATAAATTAAGAGATAATTGACACAATTATCATTATTTGTTAATTGATTTTGTGTCTTTAATTTCTCTCAATCATCCTCATAATCATTTCCAATCAATTTCAATATTCTTAAATATATATTTGTTTCCTCATTTCAACATTCCCTCTCAAAATTGACTTAGAGATAATGCAAAAAGTCAATATTGGAAAGAATACCTAAAATAATTCAAAAACTCGATGAGTAATTCATTGTTAATAAAATGATCCATAGATACCAATCAGGTTCTTGAGAGTTTTGATCCATCTTCAAATCAGTTCGCTTGATCATGGAATTCTGCCTTTATCTCCTTTTGTCATAGCACTTCGCTTGATCTTGGAGCTTTTTGTGGCTTTGATTCCTTTTGTCATAGCACCTCGTTTGATTCTGGATTTTGTTTCACTTCAAACCACTTGGATATATGAATATTAAGAACTCAAAAATAAAGAGAGTAAAAAATAAAAACTAACAAAATATATAGAATAGATCGTAACGCTGCTTTGATACCATGATAAATTTAGTGATTAAAGGATGAGAAGATTAAGAACGAGGACCGAAATAAGAAAAAAGATGAACGTTTAAGCAAAGAACATCGTTGGCTAGTATATGCCAAGATGTGTATGCGGGACACGTTTTGGTAAAATGATTTCTGTATATACATAGCAATAGAAATATTACAAATATATATACAACAACTAATAGGTGTGATATGGAAAGATTATATCATAAGAAAGGAAACATGATATATTTATAATGATATTTTAATAAGAAATAGAAAGTGGAAGCCGTTGAATCCTTTGATTGTGCTTGATGTATATTCTAAAATCTCCATTATCTCCAACATTTCATTTCAAGGCACTAACTTTTCTGTATTGGTCTATACTATTCACATACATATACATATTACATATATATTGTTAGAATAAAAAATGAATATATGATTAGAGTGAAATATAGATTTTAAGATATAATTGAAAATAATAATGAAAACAATATTATGTCAAATATTGTATATCTTATTTTTTCTATTATTTTCTATTTTTTATTTCGTTTGTTAATTTTTTTTATAAATATTTGAATTATTTTTATTGTAATATAATAAGAAAAAGAGATATAGTAATAAAAATAATTTTTTTTCTTTTTATATTTTTCTTATTTTGTTTACCTATTTTACTTTTCAAGTCAATATATATATTAATGTATGATAAAGGAATGTGTTAATTATTAGGTCGAAAATGACATCATATTTCTCTAGACAATCTATATGTATACAGGACAAAGCTACTTCTTATATATATTATGAAAATTTTAATTTCAGTGTGTTACTTTCCTCTTTTTCACTGTTTGACTTTTCATCAGAAATATTTTTTTTATAAGATATTTCACCATTTTCAATCCTTACCGTTCTTTCAAAAGGTTAGAGAGCTTGGTTTTCAGAAGTTAAAAACCCTTGGTTTTGTGCCTTGTTTTGTTTTAAATATACCTTTTTTGCGTAGAATTTCGCGTATTAGTTTTCTTCAATGCAACTTGAAAAATCGTGGTCGTCGTATTTTTATATTCGGAAAGGAGATATGACTTGTCTACCCACTTTAGAAAAAGGTGCATATATACACACACACACATATATATATATATATATGTGTGTGTGTGTGTAACAAGGAAAGCGTTGCGCTTCAAGATCCGAAAGTTCAATAGTTCACATTATTTTCTCGGTATACAAACACATATAAGATTATGTTCACGTGGATATACACATGCAAATATATACATGGTACATCAATATGTATATCAGGCACCGGTGTATGTATATGTATATATGTACATATATATAGTTTCTTTCTATTAGTAATTTATCGTTTCCTTTTACCCCGGATGTGATTTTTAAAAAAAAATGTAAATGTGAAATTATTATTATAAGAAGAATTATTCCAAAAAAAAAGAATGATTCTATCCATTTTCGTACTTAACGCAATAGCCAGTCGAGAATGAATGGCGTGTTGAAGAATATTACAAAAGTGGTCTCTGAAAAAACAAGTCGTGTGAATGTTCCAAAACATTCTCTACCATCAGCAAAATGACAAATCTCATGAATTATCCGCCTCTAATTCATATTTAATTAATAGCGCACCATTATTTAAAAAGAGATTACCCATCACATACGAAATTAGTTGTCTGTGTGCGGTGCATGAATGTATGTATATATGTATATACATGTACCTACCTGTGTAGCTGTGTATGTATTTCCCAAAAAGTAAGGGGGAAAGTTTCCAATGAAAATATCCCATCACAAGTTCCAAAATATGTACTTCCACTAATGACCCAATTCATATGCGCTGTGGGATTATTGTGAATACACCCCCCCCTCCCCATATATATATACACGCACATGAACGTATACAACTATACATGCAATATATGTAATTTATACATCTTTGTATATAAAAAAAATCGTATCCGGAGGCATACCCGCTTATCATGCAGATAGAAATAATTAATTAAGCGTGATTTAGAAAAGAAGGGACTTAATGATGAAAATTACGAATGTAAGCATTTACATCAATGGAATGGATGGCAGAACGTGTCATGGGCATGATGTGTACATATAACTGTATAACTTTATTTAAGCATATTTTACTTACCTTCCTAAAGGATCCTTTCGTTTACATATATGTGATATATACACATAAGAATTATTTACAAAATGAATGCTTTAGAGTAATATTTATTTTTTCTCTCCATAAAATTGAATAGTATACAGTTGAATTGCTCTAGAATTAGTGTACGAAACTCACAAAAAAGTGTCATACACATAACTGAATTATAAGTAAATGTCCAAATAAAATAGGATTTGTTGGACAAATTTCACTTTAAAAAATCATGTAGTATTGATCTTTCTCCTTGTTTGCTTTTCTAATTTAAATACCATCTATTGATTGTGTATAGTATATCAATTATTTTTTTCCATATCAATCATAACTTTACTATATATATAGTATTTAAGACTAATTTGTTTTTGGAGCATATTGAACTTTCTCGTGTTCCAGCCTTCATAATATTCACATTATACACACACGTATACAAATATGATAGTGCAAATAATATATATATATATATATACGTATACATATGCATATGTGTCTCGGGTCAAAATAAAATAAATAAAGAATGAAAAGGGAATAACCATGGAAGAGAAGAAGTCAATGAACTAAAAATCAACAAGAGAGTAAAATAAAATAAAAAGGGATACAATAAACTAAAGTAAAGTTGGAATATACAAATTAATGGCGCATTCTGTAAAAAACCCTTGGACGAATAGAGATCATAAAACACCAAATAAAATCTTGCTTGAAGACTCGCGACCACTCTCGTGCCCCGACAAATCGCCCCGCGACGACGTTATTTAATTTTCAAAATTCCATTCTGTCTTATTACAAATTAATTAAATAATTTATAGGACCATTGTCAAAAGTAACCTATCTATTTCTAAATTTTATTTTATATCCAACTTATGTCGACATTCACTAACACGTCAAAAAAAGATTATTATTATTATTATTATTATTAAATTCAATTCTTCTTTGCTTATTGTATTTTTTTTTACTCTCTTTTTTCTTGCTTTTTCCTTTTTCTGTGTTTGTCGTGTCTGATCATTCTGTTTGTGTTTGTCGTTTTATGTCATCTGCCCGTGGGGAAAAAATTAATGACTTTTTCAAATTCATTCCTGTAATAAATTAATAATCATGACCCATTTTATTGTTTATATCTTAAGGCCCATATTTTTAAAATGCGAAGCCCATAATCTTAGCCTAATTTAACTTCTGAACAAATGGGCCTGAAGTGGCCCCTTATGCTGATCTCAATTCATTGTCGGGCTTTACAAGGCTTATTTTGGGCAGAGCCCCCCAGTTACCCAAAAAAAGGTGTATAGTTCTATTTATTTGTTTGTTTTTTATTTTTTTATATTTGATTATTCTACGGAAAATTAATACACATGTCGGGAATTATATAAGGTCAAAGACATAAAGAGTCAACGAAGCTTTTATCATGTGAAAAAAAAAATTGGAAGTATAGTAGAGGATGAACATAGAGAAGTAATTAAGAACGAGCAAATACAATTAATGACTTCGTAGTTACGTCAAAGCAAACAAAAATCTTTGTGCGATATGTTGCTTTGCCTTTAAGACTGATTAGTTAGTAGGCGATGAATCTTCCCCTAATATATGTAAATAATTATATATTAATCTATGTGCATTAACACATAAGTATATTAAATCAACACCACACACACACATTATATATATGGGATATGATATTTAGTATATTACATCATGATATGATTGATATCTATGCATATGCTATTGAGTTTTTCATTTTTATAGTATTAACGTACAACATCTTCAACAACGGCCGACTTCGAGTTTGGGATTAGTTAGATCGAAAAACCAACAAACCTCCTAATTATAAAAAAACGTACAACTTGTATACGAGGCTTGGAAGAATATATAAGCGTATAATATTTTTTTAAAAAATTGTTATTGTTCGAATTTTACAGAAGATATCAACCTTATTTCACAATATGCATGAAGCTAATATTGAGACTAACAAAAAAAAGAGACTCACTTGCTAAATAGAGGTTTATAGAAACATGTGAACATTTTTTGATATTTCTATATATTTTAAGTGTTCACCATTAACTTTATCTTGTCAACGTCAATGCGTTGCGGAAATACTTATGTTCAATGTAAGTAATACGTATTATAAATGTATATGTGTATAATGGGAGCGAAAGAGCAAAAGCCATGCCTACGTGGCCCCCTCATGCATCCGTCGACCATAGCATGATATGTGGCTTGCTGTATGCTTGCACCTCCATCCCATAATTTCTGCATCATGTTTATTTTTACCATACATACATACATACATACATACACATCCACTTGCATACCCATGTCTCCCCCAAACATATATGTATATATATGTGTAAACAGTACACATACACACATATATATATTAGGGGTAGATACGAATCGGGTATCCGAAAATTTGAGGGTACCCGAATCCGAACCCGAACCCGAACCCGAACGTCTCGGATTATATGTTTTATTACCCAATCTCGTATCCATAAAATCGGATACCCGAACTCGAAAACCCGTGAGATAATTTTCAGATATCCGAGGATACCCGAACCCGAATATTTATAATTTTTTCAATTATTATTTTTAAATATATTTATATATACACACTCAAAATCATTCAAAATAAATTTATTTTTAAAAAATAAATCATAAATATATCCCAATAATATCTATATAATCATTAATATTAAATTAAATAACATAAAATCTAAAAAAAAATCTAAATTTTAAAATATATTTTTTTATTATCCGGATATCCGAAGATACCCGTGAGATAATAATCATTACCCGAACCTAAAAATTTGGATATTCTAATATCAATACCCGATCTCATATCTCGTTCGCTCGGATACCCGAATTTTTGGGTACCCGACCCTCGGATCGGGTCGGGTATTCGAAATCCGGGTATTTTTGCCCACCCCTGATATATATATATATGCAGCGTGTATATGTGCATTTATATACTAGCAGGTGTTATATGTTTTCGTGTCGTGGCATGTGCAGTGATAGCCTTACTCGTGAAGCCCACGTGACGGCATGCATGCCGGGTTCGAACTTGACATGTTAATGTGTTTTCTTTCTATATATCGCCAACGATAGTTATTGAACATTGGCGCTGACTCTATCATATATATATAATGAATTATTGTAACGTTTATGACTGCAGAATCTTATATCCAATATGTTTTTATCGATGCAGGATACATACATATAATTGCATGTACATATTATATACAAGCTCAACCTACGGTGATGTATACATAGAAAGGAATTAAAAAAAAAAAGAAGAAGCATAAATATACACACACATTTTACTTGCATATTAATCTTCTTTCAAATATTGTATTTGTAAGCATCATGAAAAAAATACCGTTTAGTTGTGGTCGGTCATATACGCAATTCGCATAATACTAATCAAGACTTCGCAAACCGACCAAAATTCGCAATCCCAGTTTCTTAATATAATATGTATGTATATATATATATATAATATTGATTTTTGGGTCCTTGTTATATATTAGTTGTGACAATACTTTAGAGCCCAACTACGTACCAAACTGCTCGTCACATGTAAGGATCATTTGCCGTTACGACCGGTATAGCCGCGTATCGTGGTACAATATCACTTTATATATGTTTTAAGTTTCATAATGATTTGATTTGACAAACAAAATTTATTAAAAATTGATCCTACTATTTCTATTATTTTCGTTGGTACCACCAACAAAGCACATGGAAATTTCAACTAGCTTTTTTAATTTATTTTTGGGAAATATTCTGTCTACATTATAGCATCATAATCTTTGACCAGTAGTATCTTGATGATGATTAGCTTATGATTTGACATTTTATCGTTCCATAATCATAAAACCGTTGTTAATTATTAGCCCTTTTTTTCTATATCTTTGCAAATGATTGGACACCATAAATTCTGCAAACTATGTGCGTGGGTCACCTCCATGGCCATGATTGGCAAAGTACGTAATTATCATCTATCTCTTCAGAAATTGTTTTCTCCATGATGGTCCCTAATCATTGTGATGTATTATACATATGGCTCCTCATAATGTCATGTATGTTGACCAAACTTTTATTTACGAGGTTCCTTAAGTGTTGAGGTTTAATCGGTGAATTAATGTTAAAAAATGTGGGGATATGTATTATGAATACGAATGATTAAAGCCATCAAATATCATCCAATTAATTTCTTCATATTCTAACCACAGAGTTAGCTTTTGAATACTGGTTAGATTTAAGTTATCTATTTAAGCTATCGATGTATATATATTCAATGTCTTAATTAAGTTGTATACACGTTCCTAGTTGTGAATTAAGTAATTAAGTGTTCAACCGTACGATTGAATGTGCAGGTCGAACTCCGCGAGTTTTTTTTTTTTCTCTTTTCCTTTTCGATTTGACATTAATGAGTTAGACGTTATAAAATTAGCGAAAACAGAAATTGGAATACCAAAGAACATACCTATGCATGCAGTTTGTAATTTGGTCAAATGCTAGTCTAAACTTGTAAGCTACTTCGTAATCTATCTAAATTTAATTATTTTTGTAATATATATATATATATATATATATATATATATATATATATTGAAAAACAAGACATCCATTTTCTTATAAAAGTTGTTCCAATATTTTCATCAATAAAATAACAACTAGACAACAAACGGATTTCTATTCTCAAACCAACTATATATACATATATATGTATGTATATATATATATATCCTTCATCAAATAAAATCCTTGATCACAAAAAGACTGTAACTTTCGACTTTTTTCAATCGTATTCTCCGTTGACTAAACGTCGGCATTAATATATATAATATTTTAAAATTATGATTTCAGTTAACTTTCCTTGTCATATGTATCAAACTGGAATTATCATACTGTTACATATGCCAACTTTATAAGTTTATATGCATTGACCGGAACTAAGCATAATTTTAAAAAAGAATCACGATTTTTTTGTAACATGGATATATAAATATTTTGTATTATATGCGCTTATGGGTACATATGATAAAAGGAAATTTTCATTGATATTACAAACACATATATATGGCCACTTCAAATCCACATTCGGATTGAGTGCTCTTTTCTACAACGGTATATGACAGCACACTTACACGCGGAAAATTGCAGAAAAAAAAATATAATCACCCACATAGCATATATATATGTATGCATATATTTTGACATACATATTTTGGAAAATGAAAAATACTTCTCCAAAATATAAAAAAAATGAAGTAAATATATATATAAAGGGAAAAAAAACTTGAAAGTATTCTCTCACACGCACCAGGAAGATAAATCAATTACATAATTAATTTACCGTTCATCGGGTTCACGGTCGGTCCATGAAACTCGGAAAACCCAGTTGGAGAGAGTCTTCTTCCTCAAACTCTTGAGCCTCTCATGGCTGCTTCTTGACATTAACCGGCCACTGTCTTTTGATTCTACGTACTCTTTCAGTCTCTTCATGGCCAAGTCGAGCGTATCTTCGCTCATGTTGGCGAAACAAACCCTAAACCAACCCGGTTCGGTACAATGGCACGACGAACCGGGCGAGATGTTCAACTTCACTTCGTACACGATCTTCTTCCACAGCTCGATCTCTGCTTCGAACGTGTTCGTGTCCAAAAGATGCCTCATGTCCACCCAACAGAACAGACCTGCGTTACTTCTCAGGCAAGTGATCCCGGCCGCTTCCAGACCCATTTCGAGACGCTTCTGACGAGTCCTCAGCCTTTTCTGGTTCTCTTCGATGTATATCCTTGTGAACTTCTTGTCCGAAAGCAACGCCGATAGGAGATACTGTGTCTGGGAGGAAACGAGGCCGAAACTCGACATCTTTGTCGCTGCAGAGACGACCATTTCGTCGGTGGAATAGATGGCTCCAACGCGAAATCCCGGAAGCCCGAGATCTTTGGACAGGCTGTAAACGACGTGAACTCGCTTGGAAACCTCGGTGTTCTCTAGTTTCTTGTCCTTCAAGACATCCATGACGCTGACGAATTCAGAGCCAAAAACAGTACCCGAATAGATCTCATCGCTTATGAGATGGATGTTTTTGGAAGCGATGAAATCCACGAGAAGGTTAACTTCCCGTCTGGTGAGCGTAGTGCCAAGCGGGTTAGAAGGGTTGGTGACAAGAACTCCTTTGACCCTTAGGTCGAGCTTGTGAGCTTGCTGGTAAGCTTGTTGGAGAGCTGACTCGGTGATTTGAAAACCATTAAAGCTCGAGCAGTGGATTGGTACGATCTCCACACCTGTTCTCCATTTCAGATCTCTGTCGAATCTGTATACATGAAATGTAACCATTTCTTCAGCATTCATGTTCTATCAGTTGCTTAGAAGTCAAGTAAAGTGTAAAAAGTGAAAGGTATTTGAGTAATTAAATACCCAGGGTAGTAAGGAGTAGGCAAGAGAATGGCGTCTCCAGGCTCAGCCAGGCAAAACATGAGAGTCTCGTTGGCAGAGGTCGAGCCTGCGGCCAGGACGAGGTTGCTTGGATCGAACGTCACCCGGTTTCCTCTTATTTCCTCCATGAACTCAGCCAAGGCCTGAATATTCGTTAAAAAAAAACATACACGGACACATCAGTCAAACTCTGCTTTAGGTTATATATATTTGTGTGTATTGATTCAAATATTTGAATATAATCTTACTTTCTTGAATTCGGGTAGTCCGTGATAGTCTTGGAAGAGAGCGAGCTCTCTGAAGACGGATTGGCCGTCTCTCTTGAAGGAGGCTGCGTCCGGATTCTTGACCAGCCATTCTTCAATCAGATCAAAACATAGCTGCACAATATACAGATAACAAATATCTTATGAGCTTGAAGAGAACAAAGACAGTATATATGTGTGTAGTGTGTGTGTATAGAAAGAAGACAGAGACATTAATGACTAGTTTACCTGATTCTCAGCGAGACCCATCTGAATAATCCCCTGAGGATTCTTGAGCTCATCGTAAGGATTCTTCTCGTACTCTTGCCATCCCAAGAAGTAGGAGGAATCTTGCCCATGAGCATTGCTCGTCACTTTCGTTGAAAGCTGCTTCATCTCCGATTAAACCTGTGTTCCTTTTCCAACGATGATAGTCAGGATGAGAGAGAGAGAGAGAGAGAGAGAGAGGAATCTTGAATTAGGGTTTTGGTTGGAGAAGAGAGTGAGATGTGGAATGCAAAAATGCATGGGTATTGAGAGGTATATATATTAATAGTTTCATGCGACAAAATTAACAAAGTAACAAAAACGGAAAAAAGGAAGTTGACAACAGAATCAGAGACTCAAGGGCCTTTTGACCGCCCAGACATGACATAATTCTCAGTAGAAATTCGTCCCGTCATGTGACAGACAACTTCGAATTTTTTTTTAATGATTTTTTAATATATCGCTAATAATTTATCAGTAATCATATAACTAAACATTTTTTTGTGGAACTTATAATTATTGTTAGTTCACATATTTTAAGTAAAGACAAATTATTGAACATTCAATGCGATCTTAATATTATGTTCACACATTACAGCATACACAATCTCAGTATTAAGAACATTTTCTTTTGTTCCTTTTTTTGTTTTTTAGCGCATTATATAATTACATATATAACAAGATTCTTTCAAAAGGTGTGACTTAAATTCTTGTGAATTTGATTGTCTAAACAATAAAATATATTGATACAGATTAAAAGAAACTGCAATTAATATGTTATAGGAGAATAATGTTTAGTAAAATATAATATGATCGGTCCTTTACGCGTTATCCGTCACCGCCCTTAGGACTATGCTTAGAAAATTAAAAATAAATAACTAAAAGTGTACTTAACTCAAATGGGCTTTCATAATTCATGCTTTCGATATTATTATTAATTAACTACATTTATATGTAAATATTGTTTTATAATGATTCAGTCAGAGTAGATATATCATGCATGCACTAATTAACAAATTATAGTTTTCGAATCATGATGTAGGCAGCATAATACATTGTAATACGTGCCATATTTTATTTTAATGTTATATTATTTATAATAGTATTTTAAAATAATAAAAATGTTTTTAATCCAATAAATATACAATTGAACAAAAATATATAATAGTTTTAGAACAAAATTAATTTTAAAAAATTATATATAAATATAATTATTTATATTGAAACAAAAAAAGAAATAGAAAAATAAAATGATGCATTAGATAATTATTATTATCTATTAAAAATAAATAATAGATAATAATAATTATCTTCGACGAAAAAATAACGGTATGGTATTATATTCGACGAAAGGGTTAAACTTCAGATTAAAAAGGGGGGGGGGACAATAAAATGTAAAGCCAAACCGACAGCATTTGTCTTTAAAGAAAACGGGTTGGCCACTTAAATTGACCCATTATATATATACATCTATATGTACTATATACTACACAAATTGCATACACATATACATACGGATATGCATACGCATTGGCAGAAATACATGTGGGAGTTAATTAAAGTAGGACCATTTATGCTTCCCGAGCCCCATGTATATATGTATATATATATATATATATATATATATGTATATATATATATATATATATATGTATTTGTCCTCCGTTTTTATTTTTCAGGTTTACTCGGTGGCATTCTATTTGAGGGAAATTCTTTGGTTGAATTATCATTTTACGACTGTATATATCGAACCGGATTCGTTAGTTATCATTTTGTATACCAACAATGGGACTTCTTCTTCTTTTTTTTTATAAAAATCTTTCTATGAACCTTTTTTTTTGTGCTAAAATAGAATTATTGTATAGATATAAAAAAATTTGTCATGAGTTTGAACATTAAATTTGAGAAGGTATTGTATATTCTAAATCACTCGGATGACTTTCAGTCACGGGATTAGTATGAACCTTGATCTAATATATCCGTTTACAAAAAAAAAAAATCTCTACAAACACGATCATTCACATGAGCTATATATAACAAAGAACCACGACTTGATATTATTTCCAGAAATAATTCTCCATAAAAATTATCGATGGACCCAATTAATAATTAATAATAATTGATAAACAAAAAATAGGTGAAAATAATTGATGAAATAAAACAAAATAAAATAAAAAAATCCGGTGGACGATCGCAAGCCAATGGTAGCCGTTGGATTGTGCCCCCATATTTTCCGGGGACCGTTGTTCGTTATAGATTTGACTCGCCAGTTAAACTAACAAAAACTGGAATATTCCTTGTATATAATTATTTATAACGATAAATAAATATTATAATTATTCTAAAAGAGTAAAATAATAGTTTATTCGATTCGGTCATCAACCAAAATCTAAGTAGGATCAAATTGCCGAATAATCAAACAGTCGTTATGATATTTCCCATTTGTTTTTGTTGATTAATGCGAGAAAATGGGTCACTGATTAACAAGCAAGTCTTAATTTATAACGTTACACAATAATATTTGCAAATAATATATTCCGGTTTTGATCATACTATAGCCCTTGATTTCGTTTCTCAAACAACCAAAAGATATCAGTCAACTCATACAATATATATATATATATATATATATATCTGTAAATTAGCGAATAAATAAAATTACCGTTTTAGACTTGGAATTTTTCACCCATTTAAAAAAACGGGTTCGTGAGTCACTTCGTCACGGTCGAGCCACCAATTGTCTCGCAAGCCACAATTTTTTTTCAATATTTTTAGTTGATTTGCGAGCCGAGATAGAACCAAACATCTTCTAACTCGGTTGAGAAATGAGTCGGACCGTATCGATCGAGCTCCAACATTTTGAACGGGTGACGATCCGAGTTAACCCGGACCAAACCAATTCCTTTTACACCCATCATAATTAATCATTATATTATACAATTTCTCCATTTTAATTCCTAAAAAATCGACAGGGGATACAATAAAATCCCGTAGTCAAAGTGGAATGATACCAAAAATTTTCGTCCAGGTAACTAGTTGGGAAAAAAAGCACGTGTCTGGGGCGGATTAAAATCTGCATGGGAAAAGAGAGAATATAACTAACACGGGTGAGGTGAGGGAGCCACATGGTTATGTAGTAGAAACAGGGTTAAGAATGCATGTGAAAGGCCTTAGGGTTTTTGCATGCGACCCCACAAAATATTTTAGGTCATTTAAATCGGTGACAAACCAACGTGACTCTTCACGTTCTTCCAATGGACCTATTGCCCCCCCTTCTCTTCACAAATCGCGCAAAAAGAAATGAAACCGATGGCCCATTTGTTGTTCTCTCTCCCTCTAAATTATATATATGTTTTGGTAATATAATATGCAATCATTGATTCGTTCCATTTCTTTTTGTTCGGTTCCTGGTGGGTCTAGATTCGAATCTCTATTCTTTCTTTTTAGAGTTTAATTTAGGTTTATTTAGCATGTAATCAAACGTTGCTTATATGTCCACTAGTACAAATTAGAAACCCAGTCGGATATCGATTTGCGAGTTACAACAAAAAAAAACCCAACCAAATTGAAAAAAAAAGTAATCAATTATGTTACCATCCTATTTTGTCAGCCATGACTCAGATATCAAACAAACAAACTGTCACCTTGCATCGAATAAACAACACAGTATGAAGAGCTCATGTTTATGTCTGTGCATGAGTGCGTGTTTGTATCTCTATTTCTATATATATATTATATGAGCGGCGTGGTGGGTGAAGTTTTGCATGTAAGGATGAATTATGGAACGCACATGAGCCCGAAAGGTGTCATGTGAATCTTTGTAAACATGAACGCCCACATTTTGCGTTGTAAATATGTAAAAAAAAAAATATCTATATATACGTGTAACACGCATTTCATGGTGTATTATAGTGTTATAACTTAGCCACATAAAATATAGATATGTTTGGTCACTGATCAAGTTTCGTAAGTGCGTTATTTATGTCGTTGCCATTGTCGAAAGCAGCTCTTAAACTCGGGAGTGACAGATCCAGAATTCCAACGGGCTCAGGCGCATTGGTCAGAGAAAATGGGCCCCAGGCCCATTGGTCCAACTAAACGCTGCTGACGCTCGCACCAGCCAAGCCAACCACAAACAACCGCCTGGTTTGGTTTGTAGAAATGCATGGGAGTGGGAGTTTCAGTTGAACATAGAAGAAAACTGTTGATATAAATGGTTGAAGGGTACAACATTTAAATGTGAAAAAAAAAAATACAACGACCGAGAGGATCTCTGGCAATTTGATCTGAATTAATAACAGAGGCAGAGCAACGGAAGCCATTTTAATGCAAAGGCTTGAGGTGGAAGACTTGGCAGTTGGGGCTGTATGATCTCTTGGAGGCAGCCTGTTCAAACTTCTTGCTTGCCCCTTCGTTCTCTTCCAAGTTGGTCTGGAAGAAAAACCGTATCCACCACGACGAGCTTCTCATCTTTGCCTGTCATCATCAACGCACCCGTTGTGTCTCATTTACTCATTGAACCCCGTTAAGGTGCCGCTATTCAACTAGAATATATATCAGACCATATTGTAGGGGTGTGCGCTTCGGTTTCCGGTTTTAGAAAATCTATATTCGTTCGGGTTTTATGTTAGATTCAATTTGGTTGGATTTCAGTTTTTAATGATAAAAATGCTTAGTTTCTAAATAAATTGACAGTCTTTCCAACTATTTTATATTCGATCCGGGTTTGGTTTTTCAGTTATAAAAATATCATAACCATTTTGATTTTTATATCGTATTCGATCCAATTACGATTACGTGTTATTCAAGTCGGATCAATTTGATTTATGAATAACCTAACCAAATGCCCACCCCCTAGTAGAAACCCCTAAATTCCCTTTCAGATAGGAAACTAAATGCCGGAGTAAAATGGGATGGTTTCATAGATAACCCATAAGAAGAATGGTGCATCATGATGGCAAACTTACCGGTCGTCCAAATTTTGACAATTCCGCGACTTTAGCTCTTTGTTGTCCGGGGTAACCTAGAAGAGCAGTCCAAGACAAGGTTTAGGCATGTGAGGAAATAGGTAAAACATTTCAGACATGTGAAAGATTATCCGTCTTTGTTCTACATCTTTCGTCTCAAGTTTTCGGTTTTGGTTACCTGCAAAAAGAACGAGGCCGTCAGAAGCCACCCTCGCCAATTCGGGGACAGTCTTATTCAGGTATTTGGGTGAGAGGTAATCCACCGCATCTGAAACAACCACGAGAGAGAACGACTTTGATCGGTAGGGCAGATGGAATTTGATATCGGCCACACGTACAAAGCCTCTGCGCACAAGACTTTTGCAGTGAGGATCAGCATCCTCTATGTCATATGGTTCGACGCCCCATGCTTCGGTCTCTTCTTCCTTCAACAGAGTAGAGACGATCGAGCATGTATCAGGGCCAATGTGCAGAACTTTGCGCATACTATCTCCATATGCCTTTTTAAGAACAGGAATGGCTCTTTGGACTTCAGACGTGCAAGAATAGTCACCTGAAAATTTGGAATAAATTTGAAGGATATTTAAAACCTGTGAGATTACACTTACTAGCTGAATTTACATCAAGCAACTGAGTTGGCCAAACAGATGAAAAGTGATACCATTTGATAAATGGTATTCAATACAAGTTCTAAGACACCAAACTGATTAACCAAGATCAACCATTGGCATCTCAGCCAAAGTAAAACGACCCCAGAAGAGAATGAGAACATCAACTGAAAAATGGAATATGTGAGCACTGACCCAACATTTTCTCTTAATCTCATTTATTGCAATACGACGCTGATGCAAATATGAGAAACAGAGCATACCTGTGACCTTGTTGATATCTTTTACACTTTTGAAGATACCTGTATTGTGGGAAAGAGAAGACAATTCAGTTGAGCGCATAGACGATCAAGTTAGACAGAACGTAAACACATGCTGCAAGAAGATGTCTAGTACACTCAATTGAGCAAATACACACCCAAGCCACTGTAAGCATAACCAATGAGAAAGCACGCTCCCTGAAAATTTGAAACTATATCACACAACATAAGACAAATGATTTGTAGGGCAAGCAATAACCTGTCCTAGGG